GAACTTTCAGAGCGGGACGTAAAGCTATATCTGCCCGCTGATGAAAATATAAGTTTTATCAAACCGGCTTTATGTACCCGTAACACATCCAAGTATGGGATAAAGAATTGATATCTTATATAGAGATTATCCTATATGAGGTTCAGGATATTGGCATTATCCCGAGGTAAATATAATATATCTGTCCGAGGGCCGCAGCTAGGTCCAGAGGGAAAATATATTATATTGGCCAAGGATAATCCCAATATCCTGAACCGACTATAGAACAATATGTTTATCCCATACCAATCTTGGTCATCTGGTTCACATTGTTCAATCGTGGAAATATTTTAGAATATTCATGTCCAGTTTGGTTTTCTTGGCCGTGGGCGGATTTTCCTGTTCTCTCAAATATTCCCACATTTATTTTCTCGAATTTTTGATTGATTAAGTGGATGCTCCTTCCCTTTTTTAAACCTTCAAACAGATCCCGTAATATATACCTGTAACACATCCAAGTAAACATATATATATTCCAATGTATATTTCCCGCTGCGTATCTCCCAATCCAAATATTCCCGGGAAAACGTTTTTTTATTCAGTGTAGAAACAGTCAATTTGTATAAGTATCTTGCTAAAGCAAAACTGTCAAAATAGATCCAGCAGACCCTATAATTTTTTTTAACCAAAATGATGATGGATTTCTTGAAAATAATGAGAATGAAAACGCTTAATAAAAAAAAAAACTGGATATGCAGGGTGTCCTGAAAACGTCACTTGTAAAACCTCACTTTTCATAAGATGAATTAGTTATGTGATGATCGGTTTTGAATAATGATCACTGGGAAGATTTCAGAGAAAGAGCGTATATCATACAATGTTTATTGATGATATGTTGACATTGCTGATCATTATTGACATCGCTGATGGCGAATAAGTACCAAAAGGTAACGCTTTGTGCGAATGTTACTCATGGTGAATTTCTGATGGAATTTCTTACTACGACATATGAGCCCGGGTATGTGAGGCTGATCTGAGAAGTCTTAATAAACAATAGCTCTGTCAAAAAAAGATTAAATTAAATTACACAAGATTCAGAATGAAAGTGCCCCGTCCATATTTCATATTTGACTAAAAATAATTAGTACATTGGGCAAATAGAATCCTTTTTATTGCAGTTAATTCAAAATATTCCTATGCTGGCTGTACTAATTCTTCAAAACTTTCAGGCATTGACATCATTGATTTGACTCATTTGCATACAACCTATCAGCACGCCGGAAATTATCGATTTTCTTTACTTTTTTGATATCTCAAACTTAGTTTTTGTTACGATGTTATATTCATTTCATAGTCTGTCAATGTTTAATACAAAAACCTACATATAGATATCTCAAACTGGGAACTGGGGACTGGGGACCAGCTTAGAAGATACATACATACATATGACATAGATATCTCAAAATGGGAACTGGGGACTGGGGACCAGCTTAGAAGATACATACAAATACATATATACACAAACATAGATATCTCAAACTGGGAACTGGGGACTGGGGACCTTCTTAAAAGATTCATACAAATACATACATATATATATAGCATATAGATATCTCAAACTGGGAACTGGGGACTGGGGACCAGCTTAGAAGATACATACAAATACATGCATACATATTATATATAGCATATAAATATCTCAAACTGGGAACTGGGGACTGGGGACCTTCTTAAAAGATACATACAAATACATACATATTATATATAACAATATAGATATCTCAAACTGGGAACTGGGGACTGGGGACCAGCTTAGAAGATATATACAAATACATACATATATAACATGTATACAATACACATATATCTCATAAATTAAAACATATTCATAGATATCTCAGATATTCATGAATTATTGTTATTTAATTAACATATGCTATGCCAACTAATAAATAATTGTTCTGTATCTAGTTCTAACATATTCCATGCTTGTATATATATCATACATATATATGAATACATATAATAATGTATGTATCTATCTAATTTGCATATTCTGTGCTGGCATATAATATATATATGCATGAATACATAGATATATGTATGTATACATATATGTATCTATCTAATTTGCATATTCTATGCTGGTTTACATGGCCCATAAGCCGTAGTTTTGAACTGATGATGTTGAACTGATGTTAACACCATTACAATGATTTCAAATTTTACTTTGCGCATGCGCAGCACTGAGAGAGCAAGTGCTCATGATTGTTCACGTAATCACACCCTGCTATTTGATTGGACATCATATAATGGGGAACTGACAAATCAGCGAAAATCAATAGCCCCAAAATTTCAAACAAGGCATTAATGTGACAAAATGTCACCACCTAGTTGCTCACAATATTATTAGTTCAATCTTAAGTCAGATTTGAATTTTTGAGAATTCGGATATGATTTTGAAAAAGAAATTGGTCAATTTGAAGCAAGTTTACAAATTTCTTCTTCAAGTTTCTCAATAACACTGGATTGCCATTGACCTCTTACCAGATGTGCTAAAAGAAGTAAGTTGATTGAATGATAAGAATTAGTGTTCACTAGATACAGGTGTTCACTAGAGAAGGTAGAGACATGTTTTACTACATACATTGTACATTGATAATCTAAGTGTCTGATATCATAAAAATACCGTGCAAATGTTATCATATGAATAGCCCATGACAGGAAATGCTGATTTTTCAAGAAAATTGATGCTTTTTCAATTTTACAAATTTCTTCTTCAAGTTTCTCAATAACACAGGATTGCCATTGACCTCTTACCAGATGTGCTAAAAGATGAAAATGTAATGATACTTTCCTGAAGAAATTGAACACAATTGAGTACTATCAGCTTTCAAATGACAGGAGCACAAGAGTGTTGGCAAACTTGGCGGAGCGCCTTTAGCCAGGTAGCCAATCAGATTTAAAGGCAAAACTACCATTTACACAAGGGGGGACGTAATACCCGGAACGTTCGCAAATTGGCATTCGTTTTTTTTACAGCATCCAATTTGAATAAGCCAATAAACATGATAGGGGTGTAAGAACTTGAAATTTATTCTGACGATGTGTCTTACCCCCCAGTGGACATAAAGTCCAGAGCTGAATATGTCAGCACATGTTGATGATTGGTAAGTAAAAACAATCTATCCTTATAACTTAACATATTTTCTATAGTTAAGTGAATTTCGGTCACGAACCATTCAGAAACAACAGTTAAAACGTAACATTATCCGGGTCAGATTTGATTGTACCACAATGGAAACCAATGGGGTTTTCTCATTTGCATAATCAGGTCACCTTAAACCGTGCTATAGAGCTGGGTAAGGGGGTAACATTGACAGAAAACACAATCGCCACTTCAAGTACATTTCCCTGTTTATTCTGTTCGTATCAAGCCGTTTTTACATGTCATATATTTAAGTTAATCAATTATGTAGCTCATGTGAACAGATTCCAATGCTATATAACTGCAAACGATACAGAAAAAGATACCTAGGTCTTAGAAAACCTACCCCTCTATACACCATTGTCTAATGAAGACCAAACAAAGCCCTGGATGTCTCGTTTGGTACACAACTAAGCCCTGAGTATTAAATAAGCAATTGATTTACAGAGTTCCTATGGTCATTGGTAAAATTAATTTGACCAGTCAGCACATAAGCTAAATTAGCACATACAGTTAACATTTTTTTATGTTGAGAACAAGTTCATATTGTAAAAATAACAGAAAGTTATGATGAAACCACATATCTACTTACCAGTACGTTCTATGCCATCTCTCGAACTAGGTTACATTGTGAAACTCAGCTAAACACGACAGAAGGCAATATCCCGAGGTTATAAAATATTAATCGAAAAAAATTCCATTTCTCGATTTCCTGAATTGAACAAAGAAGCTTTTCAGAGATTTCAGCTATTTCTACTAAGATCAGTATCAGTATTTTGTTGCCTTCACTGTCGTGTTTGGCAATATAACCTCGGACAAGAGATGACATACATACATTCAGAACATACTGATAAAAATAACAAATTTAACTGTAAAGCTGCAGTTTCATGGCTTTTTGTTGGGAAGTTAACAGGGGATTCAGTGGTATGGCTCAACAAAAAAGTCCAGTGGGATGTAATTGCACTATCCTATTGCAGCATCCCTCTTTGGGTCTTATTTTTCATGATCAAAGTCACAAAAATCATTTGGAATTACTCGAGTCTCTAGCCAATTCTTGTCTAGAAGTGATTTCATCTGGAACAACGTGAACCATTTGAAAAAAGCTGGCTGTCGTGTTATAAATTCATCAAATAATTTAAAAATCGTCAGATAAATAAATCATGAATTAAAATGAAACTGGCTGAGCTCCTTGATGAGATATTGCATGATTTCGTCAGGATTTCATCTAAAATAAAAATAAATGGCTCTAAGAAAAATGGCGATATCCGAAAACTGGACGAAATGTCGTTATTGTCTGACATTAGTAACTGACTGTAAATTCTAAGTTAGCGATCCAGAAGATGTGAACTAATACTTTGATCACTTTAGGTGCGTTTTGGGATTTTTGGTGAGGTAATAAGACCAAAACTCACAATTCAAATTGTGATATGGAAAAACGGCGAACATTTGATTTCATATTTTAGGATTATGAAATAACCTGTATATAGCAGTAAAGAACATGCAGGGATTTATCTTTGGACGAAGGCCATGATATAGTGGCCTTAGAAGAAGGTAAATTTGGAACACTGTCAGTAAAAGCAAAATCAATAGATTAGCCCTATCCCTACTAATGATACTTAAGCTATAAAAATAACTACAACGATGTCGTAATAAATGATGGAACTTTGATCATAATTATTTCAATTCAAAAATTAAAAATTTCGATAAATTTCCCCAAAAATATTTAATACACACATTTTACACCTGATTGAGTGTCCTATGATTTTGAAAGTTTGTGGACAATAAAAATACATGTTTCTAATTTGTAACTAACCTTAAATGTGTTGATCGAGCCAAGATTGAACTGTTAAATCCAACTAAACTTCTAGTAGCTCGGAAACACGCACTGAGGGCTGCCATATTTGTTCTCGTGTGATTACGTGAGACTTCGAGAAAATTCTGGGGAGCGATCATTTGCTATAATTTTCTCCACATTCCAGCTGGTTCAAAATAATGTAAAATATAATTTTGTAAGATTGACCTTTCTAATAACACTGATGATAGACTAATCAGAATCGTATAATAATTTTATGTTATTCAGTTAAAATGCTTTAAGAAGGCATTATTTTTGTATTTTGATATTGACATGATGTGTAAAATTGCACTCAAATCAGTGACGTCATTTACTGCAAACACTCACTAGGCGGATCAAGTTCGGATTTACCAATATTTAGAAAATGAAATTAGCAATAAATTTTGCTTTAAATCAGACATAAATCAGGATATATAACCGATTCGTCATATCCAAATGATAAAGGAAGTATCTGGACGTATTCAGACAAAGCAACATGGCTAGAAAACATCTAGAAGTGTTGCTAATCACCGCTAATGTGGGCTCAATATTCGAAGATGTGAGTTATTTTTGGATTATTTAGCTCTTCACACAATTTGACCATGTAAATATTTTCAAGATGCATACCATACATTATCTCTATAGCTTACATTGCATTGCATTTTAAGAAATCGCACTTGTGTTTCTAATTGAGGCTTCTATTCTATCCATGTAAAAATGAATTGGTGTAGCTAGGAATCCCTGTTGTAGAATTGTGGGGTAAGACTTATCGCATCCTACGACCCCTTTAGATTGTGGTCGTAGGCCCGTTTCATTGGTAAGCCTGTCTTTCTACAATGTCGGAGAATGAACTACGCATTGCACTATTAAATGACCTACCTCGATACATTCCAGAGATACATCGGAAATATGTCAGCAATTTTCAAAATGTCGGAAAGGGAATTCCCCAGGGATTTCCCTTATGACTGGTGCATGCCAGGAACTGAATGGAGGAATTTGACGGTTGAAATAAGTTAAATATTACACGCAAATATCGCTATCAAAAACGAAAATATCTTCGTTCTGCCGATAAACCCATACAATTTGCGATTCAACTACATGTATATGAAAAGAATTCTAAAATACTCAGGAATGTATCGAGGTAGGTCATTTATGTGTGCAATGCATAGTTCATTCTCCGACATTGTAGAAACACAGGCTTACTAATGAATCGGGCCTACGACCACAATCTAAAGGGGTCGTAGGATGCGATAAGGGTAAGACTATTAGGCCTACAACCTGAAGCGCCTCCTGGGAGCTGCAGTGTAACAAGTCAGATACTTGAATGGAGGAATTTGACGGTTGAAATAAGTTAAATATTACACTCAAATATTGCAATCAAAAACGAAATTATCTTCGTTCTGCCGATTAACCCATACAATTTGCGATTCAACTAGATATAAAAAAAATTCTAAAATACTCAGGAATGTATCGAGGTAGGTCATTTATGTGTGCAATGCGTAGTTCATTCTCCGACATTGTAGAAACACAGGCTTACTAATGAATCTGGCGTACGACCACAATCTAAAGGGGTCGTAGGATGCGATAAGAGTAACTGGACATAAAGGGAGTATGCTAAATTCAATACCCCATGCGGGAGTCAAACCCAGGACCCTCCACTCCAAAGTCTGATACTGCTGAGCCATATGTGCTCTACAGCTGGGCTGTAGTAGTAACTTGTCATCGGGGGGGGGGGGGTTATTACAATACTGCTTCTCAGGCTTTCCCTTGAATGTCTACAAATACCTGTAAACAAACAAGAGACTGACATCATAATGGCTTACATGTAATATGATACAGTTGTTAAAATATATAGAAGCTCAGTGATGCCAAATGCATTTGGAATGGAGGTCATGCATCCAAATCCAGCCCTAGCCACAACCTATATATTGATGATAGCTGCCACTGTATAAACTTGTCCAAAACACAATCTTGATTTTTCCTGCACCTAGGTGAAATATACTCATCATAGGTAAAAATGTTGAAATAAAATAGGCTTAGTAATGTTTAGATCTACCCTGTTTAAATCATTACATTGGCAGGACAGGTTTTATCTTAAGACAACCTATATATTGATGATAGTTGCCACTGTATAAACTTGTCCAAAACACAATCTTGATTTTTCCTTCACCTAGGTGAAATATACTCATCATAGGTAAAAATGTTGAAATAAAATAGGCTTAGTAATGTTTAGATCTACCCTGTTTAAATCATTACACTGGACAGGTTTTAACCCGTTAAGAGCCCAGAGGCTACACTTGCTAAGATTTGCTTCTGCTACATAAAATTGACAATCTTTTGCTGTTTACATGTACATGGTTCGTGGCAATAATGATCGGTGATTTCTAATTTCTTTAATTCATATAGCCCCAATGTTGAGTATAAATAATAGATATTCAAGTAATCGGCAACTAACTCAACTTTAAAATCATCTCATTAGGAAATTTTAACCTGTCTTAAAATATGTTTTAAACTCATGTATATGCAAACAGCATTTGTTTTTAGACGGGTAAACTTTATTTCAAGTTTATTTTTTGTGACATACTTCGTATGCATAGTAGTTGACTGTTCATGCTGCTCAGTAAGAATAGGTGCAGGACTGCGGGAGTAACATGTGGACTCTGCTTGAGCTTAGTACAAAAATAAAATTGTTGACTGGTGCAATATATATATAGAGGTCAACAGGTATTGTAACATTATTTGATAGAATTCAGTAGAAAACATACCTGACCTTAATCACATATTTCATATCAAATGTTTAACTCAAGGTCAAATATACCCTACAGTATTTTTCCAGGATTATCTTCAGCTATATCTAAACTTTGTCAGAATGTCCCAATTTTTCATGTTTTTTCCCGTTTTTTTCTAAAACATCATTTGGGTGCAAATAGAATTGGTGCAAGGTTGTTCTCAAATGGGTGCAACTGCAACACCAAGTTGCCTCAATCCTGGGGAGATCACTACATCTTGGTAATTTTTGAGAATATATGGCCTGATGGGCCTAAATACTTAATTTTATCTGTGAGTTCTGAGATAAGTGGTAGTTCTAGTTCTGTTTGTGCCACAAGGTAAACTGTTGTCTTGGCACTCAAAATTATCTCTACTATTATCAACTCTATTTTTGAGATTATAAGCTTCTGACTTTCAAACTTGATAGTCATAGAGAGAAGCGACTTGTTCTGTTTTGTTCTATGTCATTATCTGTTATGTAATTATACTTTATCATATACTCTGATATATCTATTTTAGCTAAAATACACATATCATTACCCATGTACTTGTATGGTAACTAGTATACTGCCAACATGACTCAACTTGAATAGAAAGATTATTTCACTTTTCTATTGTTGAGGTCAAATTCCAAATTGATTTTAATTGAATAAGATTAAGGTTAACTGACCTGGTATAGAATAGAATGCCCAAGTAAGATTAAGTATAGTGATTAACAAGGAGCACCCTTCTTAGAGGTTAAGATAGTTATATACCCATTAGTTTATAACTAGACTCTGCACGCAGGGTACTAAAAGTTGGTTGCATTTAAACTTTCTAATGAAGATAAAACTGAATCTGAGATGCATGTTTTTTTTCAATCTATGAACTTATTTACTATTATACGATCTAACAATTTTAAAGTAACTCAGTCTTGCTTCAAGACCCTGGACTATCTAGTTGACTTCATTCTAGTCCTTTATCATCCAAATCACTCTTTCAAGTAATTTGTGGAAACAAAAAAATTATGAACACAAAAATAATGTTGACAAAAATGATAGAATGATTGCTGAAAGGCCTCTTAATGTAAAAGTAATAATCAATTTCCGGCAGTAGATTACAAAATGAAAGTCTCGAAATCATTGAATCTCTGTGAAATATGAAAGCAATGCAGCTGGTTAGAGCTGTAAATATAATTTTGTGAGTGTTACTTGAATTGTATCCTGTATTGATTTGTTCATGAACTTGGCATAACTGACTTGATCTCTAATAATATTTATAGATTCCTCAGACAGGTCGAGGTGCCTTGAGAAATTCAAGGCTATTAGCGTTTGCATGTAATTGGGTTTAGTAAGATTTGGGTTGATTATTAGAATTGATGATACATGTTTAGCCAAATCAAAAGGAATAAAATAAACAGATATCGTATAATAATTGGAGAAAGTCAATCATATTCATTCAAATATTGAGAGCATTTGTTTAGGAAAATCATGTGGTGGTGCAGAAAATAGTCATAGTCACGTCATTGATGCATTGAGGGTCTTGAATAATCCTGACGACTCCATTGTCCATAATTGCGACTTGGTGAAGTCTGTTTTAACTCACGAACATTAGCGAACATTATTACAATTTTAGATATTCCTAGAGGAAAATACAAAATATGACTTTAAATGTAATAGTACAATAACGTCATTTCGAAGGGCGAGGTCTAATATTTCACTGTATTACATACCTAGCGAAGCATTTGTATGGAAGTCAGTGGAGCTGAAGGTCGGCTATAAATTCTTGTATAGCCGCCAAACTTTTTTACCATGACAATATTATGACGTCATGTTTCACTTCATCCAAATTTCACTCGCAAGCAGACGTGTGACGTCATTGATATAACATAGCCATGAAAATAAAGGTATGTAATACAACAATTATGTCTGTATCATTGAATATATGCCTTCGGTCTGTCGTAATAGGGACATAACTGCTAAATACTGCACGTAGAAATGACGATATTAGTAGAGGGGTCACATCGACCCAAACTCCACCCAAATCTCGGGTCAGAAGGCTCGGCCCGACCCGCGAACAACTACTTACTGATTTCGAGTCGGATCAGAACATTCAGGAACATCGTAAATGATCGTAAAATGTAGGTGAAATGCTTTGTATTCCCGGAAAAATGATATAACTTCTAGCTGACCTATTTCTTGTATACGTATGAATTACAACAGGAAAATAATTTACGGTTCTTTCAGAACAATTTATCAAAGCCTTATAATATGCAGTAACACTAACTGAAACATTTATAGTCTATAGACATGTTTATATTGTGTTGTTTATTCCCCAAGTCGTTTCAGTTGGTTGTACTATATGACGCATCAGTTAACACAAAAAGTGCATTCGTAATTTACACGCAAACAAATAGCAAAAAACGAAGGGTAATAATTTCGCACATGGGCCTAAAATCATTTGGACATACTTTAGACATCCAAAGTCTTCAGAGGATGCCACTGCCAGAAAATACATTACTGTCTGTAAGCTTTATGATACCGACTTCGTCTATCCAGGCCGGTAAGGATCATCAGGAAAAATGATATTCAAATGATCTTCTGTTCTGTGCATCATTGTAATAGGAGAGTTCGATAATTAAGTCATATTCATTTTTCTGTTTTCTTCTGAACCGACCCGAAAAATGTCTGACCCGTGACATCTCTAGTTATTAGTATTATTACCACCGTTAATGCCCAGGGCTGAAATAGCAAGAAAATCTTACCCACTGAACAATATCTAATTTCCCGGGGAAAATTGCCGGGTGTTAAT